ACAAACTAACAAAGACAAACAACAACAACAACAACAAAACCCCAACACCCCCCCCCAAAAAAAAAAAACCCACACAAAAAAACAAAACAAAAACCAACAAAACAACAAAAAAGCAAAGCAAAACACAGCAAAACAAAAAAGTGTTCACTTTACAAATAATTCCTTACAAGTTTTGCCACTAAAAAGTGTCATTGGTGAGCTGTGACGTAGGGATGCGTATGTAAAATGTGTGTGAGTAGGGGGAAGTAAGGGCTGTGAACAATTCCATTTTCCGTGTGACGGATATTTATAGTATTTTATATTATTCTAATAAGAAAAGATTTTTTGAAACATGATTAAGGTAAGACAAATTGGCAGAAACTACTGTGCAAAGTATGGGTGACATTGATTCACCCGTTAAGCAGATATTTGAGGATAAATTGCGCCATGAATTTTTGACCACACTATAGTCGTACCTCAGGCGTTCATAAGAGTCTCATCGGATGTTCACCGTTCAGGTGAACAAATGATGATAAATAACAAATTGGGCATCGTGATGAAATCAGGGCTCTTCAAAATAATTGAATCGAAGAAACCGGCATTTTTCCCCCGTTGGGTAATTTCAATCTATTTTCTTTTGGTTCACATTTCTATGTGAATTTTACTGAAAAATGTTGATTAAAGGCACAAAAACTGTAAATTTAAATGTGCAGTTACAAAAGATTTTCAAGCTTTGGAAGTCCGCAAACTTTGGCGGCCATCCTCACGTCCTTCAGTTGGAAATATCTCGACTTCTATTCTATTTTTTGAGCACACCAAGCTCTCTGTCAGGGATCATGAAATGCGATAAACAGTGAGCTTTTCCCGCCATTTTGATAACAAAAAACACAATCTCAAACATCAAAAATAATATGTACTTTTATTCAATTCTATCGTGAAGTCTTTTCACGCGCTCAAATGACCCTATGCAGTTTTTAAAAAAAAGTCGTTTAAACTTTGATAAACTAATTACAAACAGAAACAATCGCAGGGCGCTGAAAAGCTGTTTATCTCAACCTAGCCCATGATACACCTCCTTGCTTTCTTTTGAGGTCAAAGTCCACCGGGAGTCGGAAGTGACCCATCTTCATCCATCTGACGAAAGTTTCACTAAGATGACTGTGATTTGGTTTGCACGTTTCCATCTGTCTGTTCTATTCACCCCCTCTGGTCCTATGTCCTTGTTGGCAACACTCGAGGCGATTGACTCCTTTCAGACATTCGTTGAGTTAACATGCACATTCTTCAACTCGATCGAAAGCAGGGTATACACGAGAGGGGCATAGACGTAGGGAAAGGGCAATAAGGACAGAAGGTGCTAAAGCAAGTAATACTATTTAAACGACGTTTTGGCTAAAATAACATGTTCATTGGCACGGTATATAATACGTGATCCTAAGAAGGGGAATAAACATATTCATTAAAACATCATCTAATATCTCATCTGGGCTTAAACCGTAACCTTACCGCGAACTCGTCAAATTGGTGACAAACGAGCCACATTAGACTATCATAAAAAAATAGCTACAATGTATAAACTCGAATATTCACTGATATGAATTCAGATGTATGGTTACAGTTTCTCCGGTTCAGCTTCCAGTTGTAATTCTGGTTTCAAAAGACGGTCTGCTAAGTTCCATGAGGTGTGGAACTAAAGGTCTAAACGACTTTTCTTTGATCGTAATCTTTAGAACGTCCAGTTGGGTCTCAGGTTGCAACAAATTCTTTTTGAAGTTCAGGCTCTCTGTCCCTTTTCCAGCTTCGGCGGTGATCAAAGAAGATGGGAATGGGACTGGTCGACCATAAAATCGATAACATATCGAAATCGATTTTCTTCTCAGTGCCTAGGCGACATTGTCGTCGCAGCAAAGACCGAAAGACGAGCTCTGTGCTTTATAGGATATGGTGATGTCCATACTTTTATATATATATGCATGTGAAACCATACCGGCATTCACTGAGAAAAAATACAGACAATAGAGATCCCATAACTAATACAGTCGTGAGAAACAGAATTGGAAACGCTGTCGGGTTCATGAAGACCTCTTGACTTCAGTGAATAGACGCAAACTGAAGTGGTACGAACACGTCATTTGATTATTTTGACTGGCCAAGACTGTCATACAGGGAACAATACTAGGAGGGGGGGGGGCGAAGAGGAAAGCAGAGGAAGCGATGGGAAGGCAACATTAAAGAGTGAACTGACCGTGACTGGAACAGAATACATACTTCAGAAAGAAAGTTGGTTTGATTTGTTTGAGTAGAAAGAAGAACATCGACACAATAAGCGTCATTTAATGCTGGGATAAAGCAAAGCAGACAGACAGACAGAATCAAAAGTGGGAAAGTAAAGAAGTGGCGCCCTCCAACCACTCATGACAGCATTTAAGGTCCACAAAGTCATTTGAATGTTAAATGATCGCATCTAGCTTAAAGTCGTATCTCGTGTGTTCTCTCTCCACCTCATCGGCGTTGCCTTCCATGGTAGAAGTACATTCTTGGCAGAGAGCGATTTAAAACTGTTCACCAATGAGACCGCCCCCCCCCCCTTTCCCTGTTCCTCGGCTGCACAATAGACACAACTGATATCATGTAGGGCGTGGTACGAATCCCAAACGGGATATTTTTAGGCTGGATTGGTCTGTGGAGTTCTTATGGCTTTCTATTTTTTGGCTCGGTCCAGTCGGAGAAAATGATTAAATATGAGGTTCTACTTCTTAAATACCTTACATTACACCCCCCCCCCCTCCTCCCCACCTCAACCGCAAACACACTACACACATCAACCCCCTCCCAACCGGCGCATTAAAAACACAAAACGAAAGCAATATCTATCTATCTCTCTCTCTCTCTCTCTCTCTCTCTCTCTCTCT